CCTTGGCCGGTAGCGGCCTCCGGTAGACGGAAGTGATCTTGCTGAAGGGCTTCGTGTAGTCCGCCACCAGGTTGATGTCCAGGGAGGATTTGAGCCCCGCGCCGTCAGTGGCCTCGAGGGACCACAGGTACTGCCCCTCCCTCAGCGCGTACCTGCGGAGGGACGCACACCGGGGGGCCGGGGGCCGGACAATGCATGACAAGCTGTTTGAACGAACGAATGAACGAACAAACGAACGAACGAACGAATGAACGAATGAACGAACGAATGACGCCACAATCGGTTCGAAATGGTTTTATGTGGGCGAGGACCTAAACACACACACACACACACACACACACACACACGCATGCGCACCTGATGGGAGGCGGCGGGCAGGGCGACCGCCAGTCCATCTTGTCTGTGGTGGTCGGGAAGGTGGCGTTGCTGTCCAGAGGAGCAGCACCGTTGTTCAACTTCAGGTAGCGGAAGGAGCACGAGTAGTTGGCCACTCCTGCAAAGGCGGTCGAGAGGTCATTAAGGAGGGGTTTAAGAGGAGGTCAAGAAGAGGAGGTCCCCCTGCTTTCCCCCCCCCCCCTCCTGCCCCCTCCTATACCTGTGCCAGTGTCGCTGAGTGTGTAGTTCCACTCCACGTAGGGGTTGTTGACAAAGTACGGAAGGGTGGTGAGGATGCTGGGAGGCTGCAGGTCCGTCACAAAGCTCGCTGAGGCGGGCGCCCCGATATTGCCCGCCGCGTCCTGGCCCTGGAGGACCGGCGGGCGCCGGGGGAGGGGGGCCAAGGAGGGGCAGGAAGCGAAGGGTTGGGTTTGGAAACGCGTGCTGGTGCGGGTGGACTTTAAAGAGGGGGGGCAGTGATTCGGCAATTCGGACGCAGAATGGCGAGTAAGCCTGGTTGGTTGGTTGGTTGGTTGCGGCATTTTCTGTCGTTTTCTTGGGGGAAGTAAAATGCACAGATGCCATACACACACACGCATGTTCTCGTATCGTGGCTGACATAATAAGAACACACACATACATACATACACATGCACACATAGGCACGCACCTTAACCTGGAAGAGCCAGTGACCTTCCGTGACGTTGAAGGTGACACTGTCACGACACGGCGAGTACGGCACAACAGTCTCCGGTGTGTTAGGGTCGGGTTCTGACTCCGTGAGCCGAGTGCCCATCCAGCGGCAGAAGAACGCGCGCGTGTCGTCGTCCGTGCCGTCACCCGCGAACTTGATGGTCACCTGCGAGTCGCTCTGATAGGCGTTGGGTTTGCGGGTGATAACCACCGAGGGCGGGGTGGTGTCCACCTGCGGACGCGGGGGGAGGGGGTTAAGAGGGGGGGGGAAAAGGGTAACAGAAAGGGGAAAGAGAGGGGAAAGGGCGGAGGAGGATTTCAGGGTTTTTAGTCTTTCGTACGGCGTTGAAGGGTTTTATCCAGTTATATGTTGAAGCACTTTGTTATATGTTGAAGCACTTTGTTATATGTTGAAGCACTTTGTTATATGTTGAAGCACTTTGTTATATGTTGAAGCACTTTGTTATATGTTGAAGCACACGAACACGGAAAAAAGACACGCTTGCCACCAAGCAAAACTATTGCATCTTTGGGAATTTCTTTTAAAATATTATTGCATAGTTTACAGGAACTGTTTAAATTGACAGCAGTTGTTGTATCAAGGCCGTGAATTAGCCCAATCCAGGATGGATTGAGCTTCAAGGTGGATGGAGCAAGCATAGAGCAACGGGGGTTACGAAAGCTGGGACATATTCGCATTCGGGTCTGCCCGTCAGACCCACCACCTTTTAGGCTCCCCCTTCCCCCCTCCCCCCCCTTTAACCGGTCGGCCGTTGGCCACCTGCTGCTTGCAAACCCCATCACCTGTTATCCCTCTTCCCCCGACCTCGCACACCTCACTGCTGCAGGAAAGCAGCTCACTGCAGGACGACGTGAGGTGATGACCCGGTCGTGTCGGGTTCAGTCAACGGGCGCTGCTCCCGCTCATTCATACCTTCCGGGGATTGGGCGGCCGTTTCCCGTCGGGGCCCCCCTCACCCGCTCTGCCCTCTGCCAAGCAGCAACACCTCCCTCCCACCACCACTACCACCAAAATTACCTCGGTCCCACCCCCCTTGGCCATCTGACCCGCCCCCCTTCCCCCTCACCTGCACTGCCGCCACTCCCCAGGTGATGGGGTCGGAGCTCCTCGAGGGCCGCACCAGTACCAGGTAGCTGCCGTCAGTCAGGTTGGACACCTAAGGGGAGGGGAGGGGGAGGGGAGGGAAGCCGAACCACAAGGGAGGGGAGGGGGGGGAGGGCACTGTGTAAGCGTAATGCGCTGAGGAGTATCAGCAGCTGCAGCCATAGTGCGACATCCCTCTCATTCCAGTCAGCCTAGTCCACGCAGGGAAGGAAGGAAGGAAGGAACTGTAAGAAGGGGGAGTTGGACGGCGTGTAGGGCCCAACATGGGCGAGGGCACAGACTTCGTACCTCACAGAGGGCATATGGCCCCCATCTCCCCCACCCCAGGCAAACCCCCCCGCACTAACCACCCACCCAGCCCACTCACCGTCACATTCCCCCCGCTCAGAGGCTGCCAAGTGGCCCCCTCGCTAATGCTACGGAGCGTCCAACCACTACTGCCACTGCTACTGCCGCTGATGCTCCTGGTGGATGCGGCGGTAGCCGGGGGCTGTAACGCCTGTGTGTATTCGTACGCCCCCAGCAACCCCAACAACTCGGGTGGGGTGGTAGCTGCGGCTGCGCCATTGAACCCAAGAACCTTGTACTGCAGATCCCGGGCCGGCACCAGTCCCAGGGGGCCGCTGACAACACGCGCATACGTGGTGTTGGAGCTGTACCTGCACGCATACATACATATATACATATATATACATATACAACACGTACACCTGTGCGGGATGTCGTGCTCTCTCGCTCGTTTCCTCCATTTGCTGCTCATTACGGGTTACCCACTTCGCAACCCCTCCTGCTGCTTCTCCCCTTCCCCCGTCCTGTATTGCACCAGTAATAATCTCCTCCCCGGCCCAGCCCCGCTACCCCTAGGCCCCCTAGACCCCCCTAGACCCCACTCCCGTGCATGAGCCCCTCACCGGATGCTCCAGGACACCGGATCCGCATCAAACCGGTTGCCCGCCGCATCCACCGCGGATACCTCCAGGAGGAGTACAGGAGGGGGGCCCGAGGGAGGGGTTGGGGTGGGGAGGGGGGGAAGCGTCAGGAGGGAGCCGTGCCACGAACTGAACATGATGGTGATGGTGACGATGGTGGTGGGCCGAGTGCAAAGAGGTCCAGTCAATAGGTCTGCAGGCAGACGTTCGCCCGACCAAACAAAACACACACACACACATGCGCATGTGCATGTTTGTTCCCTTCACACCACCGCCATGGCTATGTGTTTTGACCACGCACGCAACGCTCCCTTCAGACGAAAGGGGAAACACGCATGGTCGTGAATACGTTCCACACCAGGGGGGCAAACAGAGAGATGCACAAGTTATAACCGCACAAACGCCTACATGTACACATACATACATACATACACGTCCACTGCACTGGTCAAACTACCCTTTCCGTACCAGCAGCCTGTAGTCACCGTACAGCATGCCAATCAGCTCCAACGGGCTGGCACACAGGAAGTTTTGCCACACAGGAACCAGCTGACCCGCGGGTCGGCCGCTGATTCCCGAGGCCGCGGCGACGGCAGTGCGCGGGCCAAACCTCAGAAACGGCGGCGTCGTGCCGCCCTTGGGCCCGTTTTCAAACTCTACACGACAGGAGATGTTGACCGCCGTGGCGGCGTCTGCGGCGACGAAAATGAAGGTGGCGTTGTCTGAGGCGGTGGTGATTCGGTTCCCCACCCGGGCGGGTAGGGTGGATGTGAGGTTGACTACCGGGGGGGTCGTGTCCACGAGGACGGACCTGGTGGCGCCCACCTGCTCGCCGTAAACACGGACCTGAAGGGGAAGAGGGAGAGGACGGGGAAGAGGAAGGGGGAGAGGGAGAGAAGCGAGGAGATAAGGGCGAGCATGCTGGGTATCGGTAGGGAAGGGAAATTGCGTACTGGATCACCTATTATCCCCAACACAAAAAGGGGTGAGGTCCGGCTAGGGTAGGTCAGGTGCCCTTTTGTGTGTGTGGAATCCAAGGGACTTGACCAACCAGCCCACAATTTGTTTTTCCTTTACAGGAGACCTCATCCTGGCGTTCCTTACCTTAGTCGCAACACCCGCGGTGTGATCCGTTAGCACCACCGCCCCACCACCGCCCTACCACCGCCCCACCAACACCCCACCAACACCCCACCACCGCCCCACCACCGCCCCACCACCGCCCCACCATTGCCCCACCTGGAACGTATATTTCCCATCCTTCAAGTTAAGGTAGCTGCTGGAGGTGACGCAACTAGCCCAGCTCGCGTACGGATCGGTTTGATTGCTGGCTACTGCCTCCGAAACCAGCCGGCACTGGAAACCTGCCTGGGGGGTGTTGTTGTCCTGGGTGCCGAAGAAAAAGGTGACGTTCCTGAACGAGCGGGAGAGAGAGGGGAAGGGAGTTAGGAGTGGCGGAGGATGGGTGGATGCCGAGAGCATTCGGACAGGACACAAGGCGATGATGCATGGCAAGATGTGGCCGTGTTGGTGGGGGGGGGGGAATCGTGTGATGACGATGATGATGATGATGATGATGACGATGATGATGACGATGATGATGACGATGCAAAAATACTGTGTTCAAACTGAGATGCGGCCCCTGCCCCTGCCCCTGCTGCTGCCCCTGCCCCTGCTGCTGCCTCTACACGGTGCACAGACAAGCGCCGGCCTGGCTGCTATTCGTGTAACGCAGCCCCAGGTCGGCCCACTTCCCCACCCCCCCCGGGCCCCCCTCCCCTCCTCACTTGCTCCCCAGGCCGCTACCCGCCACCTCGCCAAGGTGCGGGACTGCCCCGCCACTCGGCCTCGTAACTCACCTGGAGTTGGTGATGGGAGCTGAAGACAGCTCGTCCCAGATTACAACCATCTGGGCCGCGCAGGTGTTCAAGGCGGTGGAGGAGTCGGAGCTGTTACGGGGAGCGCGCAGGGTGCCGCTGAACTTGCCCTGCAAGTGCGAGGCCACCGGGGTTTGGAATAGGAGTAGGGTTGGGGCCAGCAGCAGCAGCAGCAGCAGCAGAGAGGCTTGGAAAGGAATAGAGGGCTATAACGGCTTGTTGACGGTTGCAGTGGTGGGGAGAGCGGTTTAGATTCACGGGGACAAACCGGCGCAGGGGGCCAGAGGATGCGCTGGGGAGTACGGGTGAATGTGTGGGTGGGGAAAGACGAACCACGAACGAGTACAGCCGTGTTGGGGAGGGGGGCCCCCGGGAAGGGGACTTCACGAGCAGGTCGCCAGGGGGCGACAAGGGGGGTGCGTTTGCAGCCCCGAGTACAGCAGCAGGTGAGCCGTTCCCACCCTGGCCACCACCACCACCACCATCACCACGTGAAAGAGAGTGCGACACCCAAAATTATCCAAACTACCCAAAACTAGAATGTCGCGGGGTTGTGCGGTAGCCATGTCGTCATGCAAACACTAACTTGCCGCACAGGGGCCACACAAGAAGCCCTCGCTCGCTCACACCAGAAGCTCCAGGGCGGCCATCTGGATGTTGTTACCCACCTGTACGACAAGTGCGTACGGCTGCTTGACGGCCTTCTGGAAGATGGAGACCGCCGTGACCGTGATGGCCACATCGCCCGCTGGCAAGTCGTCGTACCATACCTGTACGAAACACGAGGAAAAGAGTCGGATAGGGTTTGAACGAGAGAGACAACCCCACCCCCTCCCCGCACCTCACGCGCCCCGTTTGTGCAGATACGTTGCCTGGTCATGCAACCCCTTCACTCCCTCCGACTTCCGTGTAAACAGGTCATGCAAAGCATTGGCATTACCCTAGGCTCCAAAACCCTAGGCTCCAACACCCTGCAAAACCTCCGTTTGTACATGGAGTTTTAAATGTGCTTTTTCACATTTTCCCTCCTCCTTTTACCCATTATTTTCCCAGGCCCATTCACACACCCGCCGCTCTCCCCCTTTCTCCCCCATCTCCTGCTGCCCCCCCCCTCCCACCTGCTCCACCGTGTTGACGTTGTCCTGCACTCCGTTCCCGTAGTCCAGCATCAGTCCGCGACCTGCGGCCCGGACCTGCAGGTCCAGGTTGTTTACCAGGGCACGAGCAGCCGACAGGTCGCCCGGGTAGTCGTACCTGGGGAGGCAGAGTGTGTACGGCAGCGTATGCAGGGGGGAAGGCGGCGGGAAAAGGAGTAGTATGGTGAGTCGTGGTGGGGGCCCCCGGAGGCGTCCAGGGAGGGAAGGGGGAAGGGGAAGGCATCCAGAAAGGGCGGCGGATGGGGACAAGGGGACCAGGTAATGGGAGAGCTCTCACGGCCCCATCTCACCCCACCCGCGAAAAAAATCTAGGAATGTTTGTCATAACTCTTTAGTTTCAAATTCAAAACGTAAAGCCCCTGATTTTACATTATAAATACATCTGTTATTACTTACATATCGCGTTGCGTTACAGTATCTCTCCTACTAATTAGGAGTTCCCAAGGATTGAAATGCAATCAGCGCCAGACCGTTAGGGAGACACTCAATCACGGGCGGAAAGCTACAAACCTTCGCGGAGTAACGCAAGGTATAACACACACACACGCACACACACAGGCACATACGCACACACGAAGCAGGGGAAAGCAGGGGCGATGCACAGGCAGATACAGATACACCCCCCTGCCAGCACCGCACTATGTGCAGGCAGGGGTTCTACACCCCCCCCACCGACAACATTCCAGAATCCTATCCGCGGGACACCTGCGGGTTTACGTTCTTGCTGCACCAGCCGTGTTCTCGTCACAGTCCCAGTGCCCACATCCCCCCTCCTGCTACTACCCATTCCCCCCAAGCCTTGCGTGTACATGTGTACACACGTATACATTCATTCATACATATGTATGTATGTACATATGTGCGCTACCCACCACGCTAAGGTGATTCTCAGGGGGCCCCCCGTGGCGGATACACAGAACTGGTGCTGCTGGCTCTGAGCCAGGGAAGCGCCCTCGCCATCCACCACCTGCAGCGGGGGAGAGGGCCGCGGAGGGTGCGTGTGTGTGTATGTTGTGTGTCGAGTGTGAGGATGTTCTGCGGGAAGGGGGAATCATATGATGATGATGATGATGATGATGATGATGATGATGGTGATGATGATGATGATGGTGATGATGGTGATGATGGTGATGGTGATGATAATGATGATGATAATGATGATGATGATAATGATAATGATGGTGATGGTGATGCAGAAGGGGGAACAACTGCCGACGTCCAAAGCAACTGTGTCTATGGGGCCACGGCCCTGCAGGGACCATACGGGTATTGCGACAGGTGGACAGGAGACAGGAGAGGAACGTTTTTGCGGGCAGCGGACAGACAGAAAGACCTGCAATAAGCACAGCACAGGGAACAAGACAGGCAAGCATGTGCCGGGTCCCCCTTTACTTTGCATACATGATGCATTCCAACTGCTCGCCATAACGCTTCTTTAACGACTTCAGAGATGTTTCTACCAAAACACGCACAAGAATATCATCCTCGTCGTCGTCGTAATCTTGGCATAGCATACAACGTACACACTCGCGTCCAACCTCTCGCACACACACACATACGTACGTACGTGCATACATACATGAACACACGGACGCCTGGCCCACTGTCCCCCTCACCTGCAGCCTCCACCCCGGGCTAATGGGGTTGCTGGCCAGCGGCAGGGAGTGCAGCAGACTGAGGCGACCGAAGCCCTGGCGGTACGAGGGACCCTCCTCCAGCGGCATGCCCGTATCCGCAACCACTCCCTTCAGGAGGAGGTGAAACCCAGGGATGCGGAGGAGGGGGAGGAGGGGGAGGGAGGGAGGGGGAAATAAGACAATAGCAAGATAATCGCAAAATAACAGGGGGGGAGAAGGGAGAGGGGAAGGCGGCGGAAAAGATGGCAAGGGATACGTGTGACAAGTGCAACCACAGGTGGTGCGCTCCTAGCATTAACTGTATTTGCTGCGCAGGCCTTTACACACAAACTATATCGGTATCTCCGAAGCGATATGGGACAGAACATGAATACCACCTAACCAGGGAGGGGATTTACAACCCCGGGGGCAGCGACCAACGGGACGAAATGCGAACATGGGAAAGGGGTGTGACAAGGGAGGACGGAGGCTGCAAAGGCAAGCAAGCGAATGCTGACCTCCGAAAGAGGGGCCCACTGATGTGATGTAGCGTGTGCGCTACGACGTGCACGGTATCCCCCACCCCCTACCCGCACTGCCACCACTACACACACACACACCGTCAGATGATCCGCACCCCCCAGCAGCACCGCCTTGATCAGGGGCCCACTGGGGGTGAATGAGTTGGCGGGGTTACGCACGCCGTCCGGGTAGAAGCCCTCCATGAAGTACTGACGGACCTGCAGTCGATGGGTCGAGGGGCGTGTGGTGTGGTGTGTGGTGTGGTATGGTGTGTTGGTGTGTTGGTGTGGTGTGTGGTGTGGTGTGTGGTGTGGTGTGTTGGTGTGTTGGTGTGGTGTGGTGTGTAGCGTGTGGTGTGTTAGTGTGTGGTGTGTAGTGTGTGGTGTGGTGTGGTGTGTGGTGTGGTGTGCGGTATGTGGTGTGGTGTGGTGTGGTGTGGTGTGTGTGGTGTGGTGTGGTGTGTGGTGTGTGGTGTGTGGTGTGTAGTGTGGTGTGGTGTGTAGTGTGTGTGGTGGTGTGTGGTGTGGTGTGTAGTATGTGGTGTGGTGTGGTGTGTGGTGTGGTGTGTGGTGTGGTGTGTGGTGTGGTGTGGTGTGGTGTGTGGTGTGGTGTGGTGTGTGGTGTGGTGTGTGGTGTGGTGTGTGGTGTGGTGTGTCGTGTGCTGTGTGGTGTGTGGTCTGGTGTGTGGTGTGGTGTGGTGTGCTGTGTGGTTGCCTCACACAGCGCTGTCACACAGCTTTGAGAGGAGTTACCAGTACACAAGAAACGGAGGAAACTGTGGTAGTGAGGCAGGGGGAGGGGGAGTTTCCTGACTCAGCACGCCACAGACAAGAAGACCAACGGCCACCTCAGATACATACATGCGTACACAATGTACCATGCCTCAGTTATTAAAGACGACGTTCATACACACATACAGACACACATGCTGACATGCGTACCAACAAGGCGGACCCGGCCACTACCGGTGTTGCCATTGAGGTTCCCTGCAGCAGGTTTGTGTGTATGGGGGAGGGGGGAAACCGCGGCAGAAGGGTTTTGACGGAAGGGGGGCCGCAGCAAACAGGACGGCGGTCATGAAAATATTGTTGAGATAATGGAGAGAGGACGACAAAGCAACAGCCGTACAATCGCCCCGAAACCGCACCCGGACAATCCACTCACGCCGACTGTATCCCGGCTGGCTGCATGGCAATCACAGCAGTGACGTCAGGCTGGTTAATTCCACTCAGTCGGGCCTCTCGCTCCCCCTTTTCCTGGATCTGGATCTGGATTTGCTCAGGACAGCTCGTAATTCCGCGCTCCTACCACCCGGGCTCTTGCCTTCCTCCTTCCCTCCCCCCTTCCTCTCCCCCTCCGTCCCCCGTCTGCTCACCGACATGCTAGTCAGGGCGACACTGGAATCGCAGGACGGGCTCCTGCCAAAGACGGGGCTGGTCCGATTTGAATTAGCCGACCACAGCGTACCTGGAGCGAGGACGGACGGACGGACGGATCCGGAGGCAGCGGCAGCGGGACGTCAGTAAGCAGTGGCTTATATATTACTTTTTTACATTTTCACGTAGCCCACGCCGACCCCCTACCCCCCACCTGGCGCCACGATATCCGGCTTTATCCGCCCATCCGTGGTGGGTCCCACCGAGCTGTACGGCGCCACATCCTCATAGGACGGGTAGTCCGTCTGGGGCACCTTGGAGAAGAACAGGGACACAGTGCCTGCGGGGATGTAAAAAAGGGCGGGGGGATAATGAGGGGGGAAAGGGGGGAAAGGACAACGGTGCGGGGAAAAGATGAAGCGGCCGGAGGGCGGTCGGCGTTTCCTTCTTCGTCTCATGCACCGAAGGTAATAAGCCGGCTTGAAATGCTTCCTCCTCTAGCTGCTATCCCTCCCAAGGCCCACGCATCGGCATATCACGTTCCTCCAGGAATGCCCCAGGCCTCGAACCCGGGAACTTTAGTTCCCCGAAAGGGGATGAATTTTCGTTCCCCTAAAGGGGATGAACCCCCTGCTTCCCAAAGAGAGCCGCAGCACCGCACAGCACGGCACAACAACATACCGCCACTCAGGGCTAAGGACATGCCACCGGGTCGTCTCGGCCTTCCTTACCACCCCGCACCCACTGCAGTCCACTACCGCCTAATAACCAGCCAGTCAGCAATACCCAGCGGCAACCCTCTCCCTCTCCCCCAACCTCACCGACCCCCACCACACACACACACACACACACCTGCAGCCACGGAAGTCTTGAGCCACAGGCCCGTGGACAGGGGCACCGAGCCCGCAGCCACACTGATGCTGCCAGGCACGTAGTCGGAAGGCGGACTCATAGAGAAGTAACCGCTATCCTGAGGGGAGCGGAGTACGGGAGGGCGAGGGGGTGGGGTGGGGGAGGGGACACGGCACGGCGCGGTGTGGCGCGGCGCGACACGATGCAGGACGGGACAGGGAATAAGGACAATCGTCCCTTAGAAGTTTCAAACACGCTGATGCGATCGATCTTGCCGGGGCGGCGATGATCAGTTGTTCGCGTGACATTTGTATGTATGTCCGGTCTCTGGTCTCCCCAAGATCTCACCGTTGTGAAACACGTTCACCGCAACTTATCACGAGTTTCCCCGCACCGCCTTTTTCCGTTTATGCCAAACCCCGAGGGACCCAATTCCCCCATTCCCCCGGGTTTTTTCCCTCTGCTCCCCCTGACTAAGTAGCATGTGCGGGTTCGCTCGCACCTTGACGTTGTTGTATACAATGATGGCCTTTGCGCCCGCCGCTGCAGCAAACCGGGCTTTGTCCGTGAAGTAGCAGCCGCCCCGCTGCACCAGCAACACCTTGCCCGACGCGGCGCCTGAGTTTTCAAGCCAGCGACAGAGCCAGCCGGCCGAGGAGGGGGGGGAGGGGGAAAAGACAAACCACGAGCGAGTGGGAGAGGGGGGGCATGGGAGGGGGGAGGAGACGCAGGGGTCAGCATAAAAGTGTACGCGGCGTACACTGGCAGACAGCTTCACCAGCACCATCAGCAGGGTGAGGAGCAGCACTGTCAAGTGTCCTCAGCAACAGGCAACACGCAGGCGGCAGCGGCAGCAGCAGCCGCAGCTACGGCAGTAGCAGTGACTAGAGCAGCGCGACAGATAAAAGGGACGCTGTTGCAGCTCAGGACGTCGGACTTGTACGGCGCCCAGTGCGGGCAGTCGCATCTTCACCTTCCCCCTATGCGACATGCATGCTAAACCACCCCCTCTCACCCGCGTTCGCCAGTGTTGTGCACGCGGTCTCAGGACTTGCCACTGCCATCTGTGAGTTGCTCAGTCCTGCCGCCTCCAGATCCACACCAAAGGTGGCCTTCAGCACCCGAACAGACCGGGTGAAGCGCTGGGGGGTGAGGATGGAGGGGGAAAATGGAGGGGGCACGCGGAAAGGCAGCAGCAAAAGCCGCGGCGAGGTTGGAGGGGGAGGGCGAGTGGGAGAAAGTCTGCAACGAGAGTCTGCAACAGATACCAGGACCCAAGCAAGTCATGCAAAGCCAGGAAGCCGACGGGAAGTACGGGGGCATGAAAACGACAGCCATTCGCCTCTCCCCTCTCTCCCACCTGGCCTCCCGCCAGGTCTAGGTTGGCCGTCATGTTGGTGACTGAGGAAAACCAGTTGGGCCGTATGGCGCCGCTCTGAGAGGGAAGGGGAGGAGGGAGGGAGGCGGGGTAGGGGTAGTAAATGCCAAGCCAAGACGGGAAAGCAGCTGTCGGACGTCCCAAGTTGCAAACTGCTTGGGGAAAGGGGGGAACAACACCGGGGGAGGGGGGGGAAAACAACCGGGGTGCGGGATTTCTGGGTATCCGGTGGGAAAGGAGGGGGCTCCCTTGCGTGCACCGCATCCTGCTCCAATTTCCCTTTCAAATTCAAATTTAGTTTATTTCCCCCGTCTAATGCAACTTCCCTTCCCTCCTCGCCAAAAATTAAATCCTTTTTTTATTTTTTCTGCATTATTTTTCTGCATTATTGGTTTCTTGCCATTTTTATGCTTCATTAATTATTTAATGCTATTTATGCTTTATTATTTATTTTAATTCTTTATTATTTATCTAATGCATTATTGGTTTCTTGTCATTTTAATGCTGGGGTTAGGATACTGAATACGGCTACAACACAGTATCCGACGTACAACTAGATGTGACACACTGTTTTTTGACCGGCTGGGCCGCCTGGCTTCTCTCCCGCAGCAAACAGCAAACCACGTAGACTATGCCGACTACTTCCTACGCCTCCAGCACCATCACAACCTGCTCCTCAACAGCACTTCATCCGGCTTGTATGTTTGCACACACACACACACACACACACACACACACACACACACACACACACACACACACACACACACACACACACACACACACACACACACACACACACACACACACACACACACACACACACACACACACACACACACACACACACACACACACACACACACACACACACACACACACACACACACACAAGGCCGCCTCCGCCGTCTCAAGCCTGAGTCGGCGGCATGTTTCGTTCGGCCCGCCCCCTCGCCTCCCTGCTGTCAAGAGCTCCCCCCATCCCTCGACTCCCTTTCTTGGCATCAGCTTCTCTCGTTCGCGGTTTGTCTTCCCCACTTCGGCTTCTTTCCCTCTCCCCTCCCCTCCCCCCCGCACCACTGGGACCGTGGACAGGGTGGCCCCCACGGCGATGCAGTTCTTGGCCACTGCGGGTGAGGTGACGGTGCCCCTGGCCGAGCTGGCACTCTTGTCGCCATAGTTGCCTGATCAGGACACACACACATACACATACATACCGCGGGGACAAACACACACGTCAGGTGAACAACACAACACAGATACACATGCACATACATACGTACATACATATAGTGCGGGTTGCGTTGCCGACTGAGGTGGGGATCAGAGTCCAAGGCGAGCAGGACCTGACGCGAAAAGACGCATGCGCGCACGAAGGCATAATCACGCAATTATACATGGAACATTTTCATTACCACTGAAAAAGTGGCCGGATGCGGTGCGCGGCGGTCACATGGATGCGCGCCGATCCCCCCCCTCCTATACACAATGCCACAAACACCCACCCAGGGGACCCTATTTACCCCTCCCCCACCAATACCAGTTCATTCGTGACTTCCTTGCATATGGAGGACACCTCAACACCCCCTACCGGCTGCGAACACGGACACGAAGTCCTGGTTCGTGAAGGTGAATCTGTCCAGGGAGGCCGACATGCTGTCGTACGCCGTCAACTCGGAGCCCCAGGAGTCGCTGTGGACGCGTGCACCCATGCGGTACGTCAAATTGAAGTACGAGCGGTACAGGTCGCCGGGGGTCCACACCTGCCGTGCGCGCAGTACACGGTGGGTTTGGGGTGAGGGGGAGGGAAAGAGACGAACCACGAACGAGTGAAGCTGCTGCCAAGGAAAGAGTGTACCAGAACTGAGGGGTTGGGGGGGGAGGAGGGGGTCGAGGAGGGCCCGGCCTGCCCTGCCCTGCTCCTCTTTCCATCCACTAGGGAAGCTCGCCGGGGAAATCCCACTTACTCGCATTGAGGGGTACACATACGTAGGAATTCAGAATCATGCTGTAAGTATGGACAGGACGACGCATGCGCCATTCCAACGCCGGCTGTTATGGACATACATACGTGCACATATGTATGCATATAGATACACACGGACAGACACGCTTAACATATTTTTGGCAACGCCCTGGGTATCAAATACACACATACACATACACAAATACATATAAGTTCTTCACTGCCCAACATCCCCCTCCCCCTCCCGCCCCGCCTCACCCCGTCCGAGTTGCCCCTGCTCAGGTCCAGGAATGCGATCTTGGCGGAGGGAGCCTGGCCCGTCCCCATTGCCAGCGGCTCATCTGTAGGGCTCGCTCTGTCGTACCTGTCGTACATTGGGGCCATAGTGCCATAGTACGGTTCAGCAGACGATTGATGACACGGTCGATATTGATTGACCCCTCCCCTCTTCCCCTCCTTCCCCCCCTTCATACACACACACACATTGCTTCATCCCCTTCTTCCGCCGCACTCTCTACCAAGTGCCCCCTCACCTCAAGAACACAACGTTTTCACCAAGTTGTGGGCACGGGCGGGGTTATGAAATGCCCTTTCCTAACCCCGCCCAAGTCCCATTCCCCCATACACCTCTACGCACACCTCTCCCCTGCTGGCCCGCCGCCGCCCGGCTCCCCCCCACCACCGCCACCGGCCCTCCCCCCTTTCACCTGCTCCCGACCAATGTCCCCGATACGTGCGTTCCGTGGCCAAAGCTATCCACCATGTCCTGGACCAGGGCCAGGTAGTACCGCAACTTGCGGTGCTGCGTGCTGGAGAAGTACTGCACGACGGTACAGGAAAAAACGTGAGGCGCGCGGGAAATGGGGATAATAGGAGACCAGGGTAAGACGACCACTGCCGAATGAAACAGACACCAGAGATAGACACGGACAGTCCGGGGGATGGGGGTGATTGCGGGAACGGGGTCGGGGAGCGGGGCCTTGTGAGGTAGGTGGGAGAGGGAGGGTGGGACCATGCGCCGTAGGGTCATGTCCACCGGGGAAGGGGATGAAATAGGGAGGACAGCGCGATTCACCGCCCGCCATCCCTCTACTCGTGTAACCCCGACCTTCCGTACATGCTGACATACACACGCACACACACATAATACAACACAATAAAAAATGAGGAATGAATACGCACACGTACCTGCATGCCGTTGCTGTCCACCAGGACGTTATTACCCACATCCACG